GTGATTCATAGAGCCTCTTTTTAATATCTCTTCAGGGTCTTAATTTTATCTTAGCATTCTCACAGAACCAGGGCCCCAGGACAGAACATTATTTTAGTTTTGTTTGGCAACTGTTTAGTTTAAAACTTAAATGCCTTAAGATATAAAAAAGAGTCCTTACAAAAATACCTCCTATTGACTTTCATAGTTTCTCACCTTCTTAATGGAGTAACGTCAAATAAATGGACTTAAAAAAAAAAGCTAGAAAGGAAAGAATTGAAAATATTTCTAAAAAGAATATAAAGAAAAGCACAGAGAAGGATCTGTGAAAGGAAGAAGAAACAAGTAAAAATGTAAGTCTGATGACAAATTTGTACCACTGTATTTTAGTGGCTCATGCAGCAAATGGAAAGGTATTTATATTTTTGACCATTATGTTAAACGAATGGCACTAGAGCCATTGGGTGACATAAAGGTATAAAACAGATTTATGAACCCAAAATGAAATAGATTTATGAATCCAAAACTAAAATTTGTCTCATCACTCTAGAGCCATTGCCAACTCTCCGGAAATTCATCCCCCACACATCACCTTAATGTTTATCCTGATCAAGAAAGAAACTATGAACAAACAACAAAAAATTTTTAATCACCATTTTGATTGCTAGAAGAAAATATTTTCAGCCAACTTGTAGACAGAGACTATGTAAAAAAATAACAACCTAGATGTCTCACATCTTGCAGAAAACATGAATTAGTCTGTAATTTGGTTCTAATGAGGCATCATGCACTAGTGTGGCTATACCAGTGGATTAAAGCCAGCATCTATTCTGTTGGTACATCGGTTCTTCTAGTTGTTGAATATTTTGAATGTCATCCCTGGTTCTAGTATCACACATCTATGAATCCATGTGGCCTAATACTTCTGGGTGAGCCAAGGGCCCAAGCCTGTGAAAATGCAGAGAACCTAGAACTAAGCATGCCTGTGACACTTGAACATGTCCTTGTCAAGAGTCATCAAGCAACTGGTTGATACTCGTGGCTCTAATCAAACGTGTGATTCTGAAAACAGTACTCTTAATTACTGAAGGAAGTACACTTTCTTACATATGGGTCAAAAAAAAGAGAACTGCAGAGTTGGGAGATTAGCCAAATCTCCCATCCATTGCAGAAATCTCTTCCATGATATGTGAATCTAGTAAGCCTCTGCTTGAACATTTCCACTGGCAGGAAGTTAGTTCTCTTTTTCTTGAAACACTGCATTCCAATAATCTTATTCAACACAGTAGGGGCCTCCTAATTGATTTCTAATTCCTTCTCTTCCAGGTCCCTAATAAAGCTGTTTTCAAAAAGCAGCTCTCTACTTTTTTCAACACTTTCTCTTTTAGTGAGGTTTCTTTCACTCTCAAGATTCAAGGGTTACTACATGGGCATGATCTTTCTTCTCCTCTTTAGTCCTGTATTCCCAACTACCTCTGAGATAGGGTTTTTACATTTAAAAATACCTAACATTCAATACCCTCAATTTCTTTAAACTCTTTTCCCAACACATATGCTCTTGTTACTGTGTTACATATTACTTGTTTAAAAACTGAATAATACACCATTCATTATTGTTTTCTACAATCTGTGTTTTAATTTAGCCACTTTGTATTTTCATCATTCTCCCATTATCTTTTGCATCTCAAAGAAGACATTTTAGAACTTCCTTTAGAGAAGGACTTTGAGAAAGGGTCCAGTAAAGGCAATTCTTTGTTTTGCTGTCTGAAAAGGCCTTCCTTTTGCCCTCTTGCTTGAAAAATACTTTTACTGGATATGGAATTCTAGGTTGATTATTTTCTTTCAGAATAGTTTAGGCATCATTCCACTGCATCTGGCTTCCTCTGTTGCTATTGAGAAATCAGCTGTTAGTCTCCTTTGAAGGCAAGGTCTTTTTTTTCCTGACTGCTTCTAAGATCTTGGCTATGAGATGTGTCTGTAAGATATGGATTTTGTTCCCCTTTTAATCCTGCTAGGAATTTATTGGGCTTCATTAAATATTGCCTCTCCCCATATTCTCTTTTCTTCTAGTATTCCAACCTTTATCTCCCACAACCCATAAGCTGTCTTTCAGTCTGTCCTCCAATGCTGCTTGATCATACAATTTTTCCAGTTCTACCTCCAAATTCACTAATTACTGTGTCTTCTTAAAATATATTTCCTTGAATATTATCTCCTCTTCTCAGTCCACCATAACAAATGCTATTGATGGATTCTGCCTTCAAATGTCTTAGTTATTCTTGAATAATTGGTTCTACTGTTATCACCCTAGTTTTGGCCTTATCTACTTTTAGCTAGGTTAGAGGGGTCTGTGGGATCCAAACCTTACCATACACACAACTAAGGCTTTAGCTTTCTAAAATATGGATTTGTTACGTTGGTCTATTACAGAATCTTCTCCCTCTACTTCTCCCAAGTCCTTAAAAATCATCTTTCCAGGATCTGGTCCAATTTTGCCAATCCAAGCACAGATTAATAGCCCCAAATAGGCTTATTTTCTTTCTGTCCCCTGCACAAGCCATGAGGATTTTTGCTAGTATGCTTTTGATCCACAGTTTTTTAACCAAAATACACCAATCCTTTTAGGCCTTTCTCCTTTGCAGAGTTTCCCCTGATAAATCCCAATGTGTTCACTCTGCTTTCTGATTTCCCTGAGCCCTTATGTATATAAGCATATGGTTTAATTCTTCACTCAGATATAATTCTTCAGTATTTGAAGTTAAGTTATAAGTAGCTTAACGAGAATTCAGAATTAGGTATAACACCAAAGTTTATGTTCTTTCTAATATATAGCACTACCTCTTAGTATTTAATAAATGTTGACTCACATAAGAAACTAGAAGCTATAAAATCAGACATAACAATGCTTCAACATTTAACTGGTTTATCTTCGCTTGGTTGGAACAAAACAATTTTAAATAGCATTAACATTTTTCAATTTTTTTCATGTAAGTGAATTTCTTAGGAAATCCCCTCAAATAAAATTACTCACTGTCTGACTCTCTCTAATCAGCCTATACAAAACCATCCTTCAGGGTAAATGCTAACTCTTGAAATTGTCTAAAGGAAGAGCTTACACATCTAGAAGTTCACTCCAGGGACCACTCCAGTGTCAAGGAAAAGATATTAAAAAGCCTAGTGTATAAATTATTCTTCTGTTGATAAATAACAAATCCAGTTAAAACAGGATGCACTACACCAAACTTACCCAATTCACTTTATAACAAATAGTTGTTATCTTTAGATTTCAATAATCATGAGAGTGACTATTATTTGGGGTTTATAATGCAGAACCTGCCTGCTGCATTAAAGTGCTCTTGTCTCTCTTTTTATCTCTAAGTAATACATAAGAAATCAAATTGAGTCTTGAATTATCTTTAATAATTTACAATTTTTAATAGATTTATATTAATATGTATATTTCATAAATACATTATACTACATATATATGTATTTTACATATATATTTTTACACACACATATATAATATGTGTGTGTGTGTGTGTGTGTGTGTGTGTGTGTGTGTGTGTGTAAAAGAACCCTCTCGGCATGTAGATTTTTTTAAAACAGTTGCCTAATTCTAGGCCAGTAAGGGAGGATAGACTGGAAAAGTAAACTATCCTTAGTATTTCTCTCATAGGACAGAGCTTATCTCTCTTACCTTTCCTGTCCCGTCCTTCATCAACACATACTGGCAGACTTCCTAGGGCAATGCAGAAATCCAGACAAGAGAAGGAAGCACACTAAAATAATGGAGGACAGGCTACAGAAGATGGACAGTGTCAGACATCATGTGGGAGAAAAGAAGGAATTATCACAGTTAGCCACTTTGTTCAAGAGAAACTAAAACTAGTTATTTTAAAGGTAGAGAGATAAGAAAAAAAGAAAGCTCTTTTATTTCTTTGCAGCAAGGCTCCTTTTAATAAGAACAGAGGAGAGTTGTAGTTAATTTGGAACTTTGTCTTCAGAGAACAGATATAACTTAGCAAATAGTACAAAGGGACAAAAGATAAATAAGATTTTTCCAATTTAATAATATTAATCAAGAGATATAATATAGGCATTGAGAAAAAGAAAAAAAAGTCAGAACTATAATCTAGAAGCTGTTAGGAGAACTGTTCTATCTTTCTTCTCCAAGAGAATACAGGCTATTAAAAGCAATAGGAATCCCAATGTTTATAGATAAAAATGATGAACGAGGAGATACATGTTAGTACCCATAACTGCATGGTCTTACACTATGAAAAGCAATGTCACATTTAAAAATGGACTTCTAGAAACTGAAGGAAGTAGTGCAATGAAGAGCTTTTTCACATCAGGGACAATCTTCTGTATATATTTGCACAACGTGAAATACCTCGTCTACCAATGCCCTAGGACATGCCCCATCTAGACACCACAGTGCTGGAAATACCACCAATGGGAGACAAGAATCCTTCAGATTTAATACAGCCTTCGTAATTTACTACTTTTTCCACCAAATGCGAGAGCTGCAAAAGTTTGAAGCTATTCACACTGGCAGTGTGATTTTATTTTTCCGATTAGAGACAGTTAATAAACATGGATACCTGCACGGGTCAAGGCATAGGAAAGGGGGCAATAGAGGATATAGAACTTTAGAAAAACTATTTTACACTTGGGTAAAACCAGTTGCCGTTATGAATACAATACAGGTTAAAGCCTCTACATATGTGATTTAGACATTTCTTTAAGAAATTTTTTTTTTAATTTTTAGATTTATTTTTTAACTCATGTATAGCTAACAGGGCATTTCTTTAAAATTAATGTTCAATTTCGACAAGTCAATTAAAGTCATGACATTTCTAAACAGGCAAATGATAAGGCTACATTTTGTCAAGGCTATATTTTCTGTAAAGGGTAATTTATATAAGAATGAATTCATTTTGAAAATTTAGGTGATTTTTAGCAATTCTGATAATATCTGAATTAGTCTATCCAAAGTTGTTAAATAAAGTGCATACCTCATATTCTTTTCTGCAAACTTTAGAGATATCATTTTTTGAAGATGCCTAAAAGATAACAAATTTCTCCATTAATTTATTACACATGCTATTCAACACGAGACAAAAAACCCCCCACAAATTAATATGTTACTTGCTGCTTTGGTGTTCTTTATTTCACCAAGGAAAACTTATGCTCTAATATTTAAAAGTTCCTAAAATACAACAAATTTCATGCAAGTTCTTTAAAATAAACATCAGCCCCAGAACTACCCGATCTGCTAAAGCTTCGCTCTTTTATGGCTTTAATCTCACATAATAACAGGGTCCTTTTGTTATTTCAGAAACTAGATGACTTTGAAGGAAATGTAAATCAGAGAATTTTTTTCTTAGTTGAAATCCACTCTGCAGCAAATGTTCTTGTGAAGCTCTGCCAGGGCATTTATCTTTTGCTTTTTCTTTAACTCTTCATATTCTAAATTCTCCTACTAGCTTATGAGCCAATCTCCTCAGCAAAGATCTGTATGTAATGGAGGGGGCAACTAAAGAGGAAAAGGCTTTGCCAGGCAATTAACAAAAGTAGTTTCTAATTCTCTTTATGCCCTCCCTCCTGCCCTGATCCAGAGTTCAAAGCCTCTGCAACTCAGCTCCATCTCAATGGCTGGATGACAGCAGCAGATCACTAACTAGGCTGTGAGCTGCTCAGAGTGTTGCTCAGGCTAAATAGTACAGTGGTCTGTGGTCTGTATGAAAGTAAAGGTGACACCATGTCTCATGTACTCTGATCCAGAAACCAGTCACTACGAGAAGAAAATAAGAGGAGGCTTTCCAGCTGTGGTTTCAGGTCCATCTAAATTTCCCACTTAAATCTACTCTCACTGCTTGGAAGTATGAGGAGCTAGGAGACTAGTTCTCCCACAGCACTCTGAGGAACCACTATGAAAATATACACAGTGAGGAAGAACTCAACTTGAATTGGACCAGAGATCTATCAGATCAAAGAGAAGTCACAGTTCACCATAGGAGTCATGCTCACCTCAGGAGCAGAGAAGGGATAAAAGAACATGCCCAGGGTAAACCCATGATGAAAGAGAATGGAAGATGAAAGCTAAATAAGCCAGCTGTGTCATCCGCTCTCATCCAAGCATACTCTAAATTTACACAACCATTCGGAGTCACTCAGCATTGACTGAGTATGACCACAGGAAAGTACAAAAGGCCGTGGTTCCTGTAATGTTCCTTCTTTGCATGGCAGAGAAAAGTTAAGAAAGAATAAAAGAAGGCTGAGGACCTTACATGGAGCAGCCATAAATGAGAAAGCAGCAAGTCTAAAAGGAAGTGGTCTACGTAAGAAATGCAAAATTTGCAGCTTTTACGGGTCACCTCTGCAAAGGTATGAGGTGGGCAAGGTCCAAGACATACACGCAGCTAATACTCAAACTGTCTCCCACGCTGCTTATGAGCCTGAAGGCCGAGTGTTACCTGCTTGCATGCCTGTCGACACTCCAAGGTAATAGCCAGTTCACAGCAGCCTAAGCCAACCCAGCCATCAGACTTCTTAAACACACCTTAAAAACAAAAAGTTCAAAAAGTTAAAATGTGTTGGTCATGAGCAGACAAACACAAATGGCGTGCCCAACTGGTTCGTGGATACCAGTAAAAGTCACAGCAGGCGTCTACAGGAAAACTAGCTCAGATAACAAGGCCTCAAATTATTAAGGCCCTCTTCCCAGCCCTACTCCCAATGCCGCCAGTCTTCTCAGAGGCCCTTACAACATAATTACCAGGTGCTCTGTTTTTTCTCTCTTCTCTCTGCCCACCCTAAACTCTCTTTAGATCATCTCACTCTTGGGTAGACAGCATCTCCATAGGACACACAGGTTAAGGAAAACAAGGAGAGGCCTTCCTCACTTTTAGACTGTGAATCAGAGGCAAAGGTTCCAATTTAACTTAACATGAAAACAAACAAAAAGGGCACAAGATTTATTATACTCAAAATATTAAATACCTAGAATAGTGTAAAACCCATGATGCTGTTTGGAAATTGATACTTATTAAACAGACAGGAACATCTTGTGTGGGTAAGAATGAATGGACTTTGGTGGGTACACTTAATTATGGGGCAAATTGACTACTGTTTCAGTGTATACTCAGCAGCTATTCTCCAACCAAACTACTGTGATATTGAAAGGCAATGCAATTATAAAAAGTGTTCTAACACATTTTTTACATCCATTTTTACAAGTATAAATGTCAATGAATGATTCCTAGGATAAAATTAGGAAACTCAAGTAATAATATGAAAAGAGAAAAGACATATGCTCCTAGGCATGTGGCAAATTCTCCCTTACCTATTTTCAGAAATACTTTATGCTGCTTCCCTGTAATACATATGTCTGCAAATTCATGTCTAAATTATATAATTATTTACATCTGAAAAAAGTATCAAGGATTCAATGCAATAGGTAACATAGTTCTCCAAATGAAACTAGGGCTTAACACAACAAATAGAAACTTTCTGCTAAAAAACAAAAGTAAACAAATGGCCTGCAGATGGACAAATCTCTCAAAATTATAAACCACCCCAATTTTTTTAAATTGGCTAGAAATACTGAGTATCCTAAGCTTCTATATCCCTGTAAGATTTAATGGAACAAGGGCAAGAGACTTCCATCTAGCCCCATCGCCTAGCAGAGTTTCCTTTAAATCTCTGCTGTTTACTATTCAGAATCACTCACCTTTTCAAAATTATTCTGAATGGAGCCAATGTAGGTCATAAATTCTGTGAACTTTTACACCATACTGCTATTTCATACACCTAGTAGCCTCTTACAAACTATTAAATTGTCCAACAATCATTTATAATATTATGTACAAAGTACTCCATTAGGTAGTGTGTGGGCTGTGAAAGAGATAAAATATATGATTTATCCCATTATGGAGATTATATATGGAGGTATATATCTTAGACATATATTATATGTAAATAATTTCAGAACACTAGGTAGAGGGATAATTGGGAGAACAAGCAAGGATATGGGAAATTCCAAGAAGGCAAACAGTCCAACTTGTTTGAAATACAAACTTCAAACAGCGTGAAGGCCTTTAGAGTTTAGAGGTATATAAAATACACTTTCTTTTTTCAAGGCACTGGCTTTAACCAGAACTGAAAGAATGTGAAGGCCGGGCTAGGGAGTTCGGGCCTTATTTTGATGGAAGTGGATATTCCCTGAGAGATTTTTTTCTTTTTGAAGGAGCCAGGGAGGACAGTTATGATATGTTGAAATACCAGCTACAAGGCTGTTAGAACAGTCTACCCCAAGAGTATAATAATAATGACTAGGAGTAGAAAGGACAGATGCAAGATTTTCCAAGGGGAGAGTCAGTAGAGCCAAACAGAAAACGCAATCAACGATAACTTGAGGGATTCCAGCCTGGTTTCATTTACAAGACAGGCAGTTATGAGTTTCGTTTTAGGTCTGCACTTCAGTTGTCACCAGGATGCAGAGATCCAGGCAGACATGTCTACAAGTCCTGAGCGATAACTTGGATTTGAAGGTTGTCTTCCCAGGGCTGATTAGTTAACAGCTCTGGGAAGGAAAGCAATCACCAGGGTAAGTGTGGACAGAGAAGGGAAGACAAGTGCACACGGGAATGACCAAAGTCCTTATAGGGGAAGAGAGGAGGTAAGAGAGGATAAGGTCATGAGGCCAAAGGTGGAGTCATAAGAAGGTAATGGTCAACTGCATCAAGTGCTGCAGGACAGTGAAAGGTAATAAGTACTGAGAAAAGGCCATAAGATTTAGGTGCCATGAGATCCTGGTGAACTCGCAAAGACCAGTTTCACTGGAATAGGAGAAGCAGAGACAAGAACACCGTTAATTACTAAGTGAATGAGAATAAATTACACATTTGAAAATGTGGGTGCCTACAAAAAGGAGAAGATAGCAACTCAAAGGGATACATTAGGGTACAGGACGATGACACAGATTTTACAGTCACAAAATAAGTTTTTAAAGATAAAGTGCTAAATGTTATTTAGCTATTGCTTACCTGGCAAAGATGAATTCATACAACTCCAAATTTCAACCTAAAATTGTAAACACCAAAAGGCTTTTATATAACCAGTCCCTAAATATGATAATTTATACAGAAATTATGTACAGTTAATTTGATTATGTTTGTCTCTATATAATCAATGTTCTAAGACCACATGAGTATCAAACAGCTATTCAGGGAAGAAAAAATAAAACTGAGATGCAAATAATATTGCTTGCTCTTTTCCCATCTTCCCATTTAGGAGTACTAATGCTGAGTCTGGGTACTCAGGATGCTTACTGGAATCTCTGTTTCTAAGCAAAAGACAAAACTCATTTTGAAAAATTTCCTGAACCAAAGAGTTAACTCATTAGATGGTTTCATTTAAACAAAAGCTTCCATAGTTAAGTTAAACAAGACCTACCATTGTTTCAGGGCAATAGTCTGGGGCCCGCTGTAACAGATGCTTTAGTCGGGATTCACTTTTTGAGGAAAATATCTATTTGACAAAAAAAAAAAAAGGTTTTTGAGGCTTTTTTTGGTAAGAAATAAGAAGCAAATTTTAATGTCCTCTATTCTTGTCAGTTGTCTAAAATACTTTCCAACTTCCTTTTATAAATGGAAACCCTTTCGAAAGATCTAAGTTAAGCTGAGCTAACATCTCTTAAAAGGTTGGTTAGTTTGGCAAATAATCAAGAAAGTCCATATATGCAAGTCTAGACTCTTTTCTAATGACCAAAAATAGAGAAAACCAGGCTACCAAATCTGTTAGAGAACAAAGGAGAAAAAGAAAAAGGAAAACAGAAAAGAAAAAATGAAGTTCCTTCTAAACTGTTCTATAAGCTGCTTTTAGTCAACTGATGACAATGTAAAACAGATTATGTCATATCCTTGATATTAGTGAAGAGCAAATTTGTGACTAGCATTATGGCATAAACTTCCATAAAATGGCATTAAATAGAGACAAAGTCATTTTTAATAAAGATGCGAAGGAGCTGATAAGTTCCTTCACCAGGCTAACTGGCTCTCTTCCGAAAGGGAACTTCAATTAATGTGATTATAATTTGATGTCTCAGTAAATTATAAACCATTACACATATCAGATAGAACTTCATGGTTACCTGCAAATAGTCAAGACTGTGAAATCCATGAATGCTAAGGACAATGAAAAAGGATTTATCTCCAGTTAGTTTTAGTAACCGTTTTTCTCCCAAACTATCAACTATAATTAATAAGTGACAAGGGCTAGAATATCACCATTTTGCAACCCCTAGTGAATTAATGCATTTAGGCAATTATCTAGAATGACTGTAATGTTAATTACAAAAAGAGACAATCAGACACAAAAACGTTATGAGTAAGACCTGCTGAACAAACAAAACAAAACCTAACCTGAATCTTATCAAGCCACTGGACCTGTTTCATTAGGTAACTGCTAGTCATGTGTGGCAATCTAAATTCAAACTTAAATCAATTAAAATTAAATAAAATTTAAAATTCAGTTCCTCAAACTCCTCAACTTCTTTTTTTTAAGTTTATCTATTTATTTTGAGACAGACAGAGTGAGGGCAAACAAGTGGGAGAGACGCAGAGAGACAGGGAGAGAGAGAATCCCAAGCAGGCCCCACACTGTCAGCAAGGAGCCTGACTCGGAGCTCGAACCCACGATGAGATCATGAGCCGAGCCCCAACAAAAGTGATGTTTAACCGACTGAGCCACCCAGGTGCACCTCTCCTCAACGTCTTTAAACACAGTTCAAATGTTCATGTGGCACATATAGCTAGTGGCTACCATACTGGATCACATAGACATAGAATATTTTATCACTGCAGAAAGCTCTGTGGATAGCCCTACCTACCACTTACTAAGACATACAGAGGAAAGAGGAACATATTGAATGATATGATGGGCTGCAAATAGCATAATTCAGATTGTGAGAAACTCTACAGGATAAATGACCAGAATTTATTCATCAAAAAGCAAAGTTGGGAAAGCAGTGCTTCCAAAAGCAGCAGAGATATTTTAAAAGCTCCCTTAAGGTGATATTATCTAGGGGCCATTTCTGCTTTTAAAAGCTACTGTTCTGGCAATAAATTTGCAGAAAACTTAATTTGCTATATTGTTTTGACATGAAGTCTCTAGCAGCTACCTAGATATGCTGAGCCACTGTCTTGTTTTATAATTAAAGAGTATCTTGCAAAATCTTTCTAAATTCATAATACCATTTGAGAGAAGTTTTAATCCCAGTTAGGTAACTCTCTAAATTTTAGGAAATGACAAAATCCACATTATTGAAAACTCTTCAAAAGATAATTGAGGACATTCATTCTCTCTCTCTCTCTCTTTTAATTTCTGAGAGAGAGAGAGAGAGAGAAAGTGTGAGCAGGGGAGGGTCAAAGAGAGAGAGACACAGAATCCGAAGCAGGCTCCAGGCTCTGAGCTAGCTGTCAGCACAGAGCCCAACACGGGGCTCAAACCCATGAACCATGAGATCATGACCTGAGCTGAAGACGGACGCTTAACTGACTGAGCCCCAAGGCCATTCATTCTCAAGTGCCAAGGCCAGAATTGCAAAAACAAGGTGATAAAGAAAGATAGACATTATAACCAGGTATTGTCTCAGTGGAATTTTACTTAAAAGGTTCAATCAGAAAAATTCAAATTCACATAAAAGTTTGAAGAGCAGTACAACACCACAGTCGTCATCTAGATTACTCATTATTAACATTTTGCAACATTTGCTTTAACTCTCTCTACATATACAGATATTATTATTATTTTGAAACATTTTATAACTCATTACAGACATGATCATTTACTCCTAAATCTCAGCATATATTTCCCAACAACAGATCGCTGTCCTATGTCACTGCAATACAATCATCAAATTTAGGATCATAGCACTGATACATTATTATTAGAGTTCATATTCAAATTTCACCACTTAATCCCAATAATGTTCTTTATAGCATTCTTTCTTTTTTAATTCCAGGATCCAATCCAGGATCACATATTGCATTTAGTAGTTATATCTCTGTAGCTCCCTTTAATCTTGAAGTTTCTTAACACTGATAACTTTCAAGAGTACAGACTGTTGTTTTGAGGAATATCCCTCAATCTTGGTTTGCCCTACTGTTTTCTCATGATTCAGGTTATATATTTCTGTCAGGAATCCTACTAAAGATGCTGTGCTCCTTTTCAGTACATCATGTCAGCAAACACATATTAATTTGTTCCATTACTGGTGATGTGAACTGTGATCACTTGGTTAAGGTGCTATCCAACAGATTTCTCCAAAACAATTATACTTCATAAACAGTTACATAACCAATAGCCTCAACAATTATTACGTAAGCTTACCTGTTCACATACATCATGGCACATTTGGTTATCCTTTGAATGATTACAACATAGTGCACCTAGGAGAAAAAATAAACACCAGATGTTTACCACTGTTAATTTAAAAAGATGATTAAACTAAATCAGATGGCTACACAAAACACTTATTCAACAGATTATTATTCATTTTAACTCAACAAACTTTTACTGCATACCTAACACAAGTCAAGGGCAGTGCTAGGTTTGAGGACAGGGTCCCTGCCCACAAGCTTGCAGGCTAACAGGGGAGATGGTCATACATTCTTTCTGTGTGTCAGAATTTTACTAAATTTGCTTTATGCATTACACCTCATTCAATCCTGATAATTATTCTATAGGCTATATTCTATTATTATACCTATAATATAAGACTAAGTGATGAAAAGGAAGTGAATTTTGTTTTGGACATGTTAAATATAAGGTTCCTACAGGACACCCAGGTGGAAATTCCAGTAAAGTCAGAAATTAAAGTACTTCCCACCCACATCTCTCAAACAAAGAAGGGCTGAAGACATAGGACTTGACCCCAAAAGTCTGAGGGGCAAGGAGACGTAGTCTACTAGGAAGACAGCATCATAGGGCTTTCGGAGAGAGGTCCTATCTCTAACTATAGGACTTTCTTTGGACTGGGGCTAGTTGCCCTGTTCCCAAGCCTGGGGACGAGGGGAATCCTCTCCGGATTTGGTGGTACCTCAGGGATGCAGCTGGCATCAGGAGGAACCAGTCCCATGCCCTGAAGTGCTGTGGCTTGCGGGGTTACCTTTCCAGCAGCATCATTAATACGCACAGATTGGGAGCTTGGAAAGCGGCTGGGCGTGGGGCATAGGAGACGGCCCACTTTGGCTGTGAGCGGGGCACAGTGAGAATGGATCCAAAGGAGTGATTTGGGACACCTGGTTGGAGAAGAAGGGACTGGGGGTTCACCATTTTTCTCCCCATAACCACCAAGGTGGAACCTCAGTGGAGGTGGGGCCTCAGTGGAGGCAGGACCCATTTACATCAAACCAGGCCCCTCCCTGCTGGGTAGCTGCAAATTCCAGTAATTCCAGCATCTATCCGTCTCCCGTTAAAAAAAAAAAAAAAAGGAATTTCTTTTTTTTACAGGAGACGGATAGATGCTGCGGAAACAGACGGCCCTCTCCTCCAGACCAGAACTGCTGCATTGCCTGGATTAACTCTAGGTCAGTTCTTGTTATTCACATATATTCTCCCTTTTCTCTTTATCTCTTCCCTCCTCTAGACTGGTTACTCTGATTATTGGTTTGCTTAAACAGACATATTTAGTCCATCTTCTTGATGCATGTTCTACATCTTCTTTCCTTTCTCTCTCTCTCTCTCTCTGCAATAATCAAGCCATATAGTTTCTCTAGGCAACATTATCTTCATTTCTTCCTCCTTGTCTCCTTCCGTATTCTCCATTTTCTCTCTCTGGATTAAGCCTTTTGGTCTCTCTGCCTGGTCAATGTTTATTTTCTCTTTCTCCCCGCCCCTTTTCATTTCTCTCCTTGTATATGCTCTTCCATCAGCACTGCCTCCACCCTGCTCTTTATTTGTAGCTGGTGTTTCTGGTTTTATGCTTTTAGATAGTCATTTTGTTTTTTTGTTTTTGTCTGTTTGCTTGTTTGTTGGATTTCTTTGTGCATTTGCATGTTCTCGTTCCCTATCTGTCTGTCTGTTTTCCTTTCCAGGGCTATTTCAAGGAAGAAACTAAGGCAAACATGGTGGAGAGTCCAAAACATCACTACAAGTAGGGAAATAAAATAACCAAAGTCACAACAACAGAGAGCAAGTGACACACTTCAAAAAACACCTCCTGAATGGCCAGGCCCTGGACAGTGTATGAGCCTCCTTTAATTTAGCCGTACTCCAGGTGCAGAGCACATAACAAGCTTTTAAAACTTACAAGAGGCAGAAAGCTAGCCGAAATGATGAAATGGAAGAAGTCTTGAAAGAAATTCCAGGAAGAAGTGACAGCTAAAGAATTGATCAAAACAGATATAAGCAACATAACTGAACAAGAATTTAGTATAACAGTCATAAAATTAATTGCTGGGCTTAAAAAAAGACACAGAAGACAGCAGAGACTCCATTGCTGCAAAGATCATGGATCATAAAAATAGTTATGATAAATTTAAAAATGCTATAAATGAGGTACAAAATAAAATAGAGGTGGCCACAGCGTGGACTGAAGAGGCAGAGAGGAGAATAGGTGAATTAGATATCAGATAAAATTACAGAAAAAGAGGAAGTTGAGAAAAAGAGATAAAATGATCCAGGAGCACAAAAGAAGAATTCGAGAACTGAGTGATGCAATCAAACAGAATAATATCCATATCACAGGAATTCTAGAAGAAGAGAGAGAAAGAGGCTGAAGGGGTACTTGAACAAATCATAGCTGAGAACTTCCCCAACTTGGGGAAGGAAACAGATGTTGAAATCCAAGAGGCACAGAGAACTCTGCTCAGACATAATTTGAATTGATATTCTGCACGACATATTATAGTGAAACTAGTAAAATACAAGAATAAAGAGAGAATTCTGAAAGCAGCTAGGGACAAATGGGACTTAACATACAAAGGTAGACACATAAGGGTAGTAGCAGACCTATCTCCTGAAACCTAGCAGGCCAGAAAGGAATGGCAGGAAATCTTCAACGTGATGAACAGGGAAAATATGCAGCCAAGAATCCTCTATCCAGCAAGCCTGTCATTCAGAATAGAAGGAGAGATAAAGGTTTTCCCAAACAAATAAAAACTGAAGGAATTCATCACCACTAAATCAGCCCTACTAGAGATCCTAAGGGGGACTCTATGAGGGAATTGTTGCAAGGAACACAAAGTACCAGAGACACCACTACAAGCATGAATCCTACAGAGAACACAATGACTCTAAACCCATATTTTTCAATAATAACACTGAATGTAAATGGACTAAATGCTCCAATCAAGACACAGGGTATAAGAATGGATTAAAAAAAAAAACAAGACCCATCTATTTGCTGTCTACAAGAGACTCATTTTTAGACCTGAGGACAGCTTCAGATTGAAAGTGAGGGGATGGAGAAATATCTATCATGCTACCGGAAGTCAAAAGAAAGTTGGAATAGCCATACTCATATTGGACAAACTGGTCTTTAAAGTAAAGGCGGAAACAAGAGACGAAGAAGGGCATTATATAATAATCACAGGATCTATCCGTCAGGAAGAGCTAACAATTATAAATGTCTAAGCACCGAAATTTGGTAGCACCCAAATATATAAGACAATCACAAATATAAGCAATCTTATTGATAAGAATGTGCTAATTGCAGGGGACTTTCACACTCCACTTACAGTAATGGATAGATCAACCAGACAGAAAAATCACTAAAGAAACAATGGCCCTGAACAACATATTGGATCAGATGGACTTGACAGACATATTTAAAACTCTATATCCCAAAGCTGTGGAATTCACTTTCTTCTCAAGTGCACAGGGAACATGGTACATTCTCCAAGATAGATCACAACCCTGGGTCACAAAGCAGCCCTCAATAAATATGAAAGAATTGAGATCATACCATGCACACTTTCAGATCACAATGCTATGAAACTTGAGATCAACCACAGGAAAGTCTGGAAAACTTCCAAAGCATGGAGATTAAAGAACACCCTACTAAAGAATGAATGGGTCAACCAGGCAATTAGAGAAGAAATTTTAAAATATATGGAAACAAATGAAAATGAAAATACAACAATCCAAACTCTTTGGGATGCGGCTGAGGCAGTTCTAAGAGGAAAGTACATTGCAATCCAGGCCTATCTCAAGAAACTAGACAAAACCCATATACAAAATCTAACAGTGCACCTAAATGAACTAGAAGCAGAACAGCAAAGACACCCCAAACCCAGCAGAGGAAGAGAAATAATAAATATCAGGACAGAAATAAACAATATAGAATCCAAAAAAACAGTCGAACAGATCAGTGAAACCACAAGTTAGTTTTCTGAAAAAATAAACAAAATGAATAATCCTCTAGTCAGGCTTCTCAAAAAGAAAAGAGAGAGCACCCAAATAGACAAAATCACGAATGAAAATGGATTTATTACAACCAATTCCTCAGAAATGCAAGTAATTGTCAGGGAATAAGATAATAAAATAATATAATATCAGGGATAAGATAAAAACTAAGAGCCTTGGACCAGATGGCTTCCCTGGGGAATTCTAACAGACATTTAAAACAGAATTAATACCCATTCTTCTCAAGCTGTTCCAAAAAATAGAAATGGAATGAAAACTTCTGGACTCATTCTGTGAAGCCAGCATCACTTTGATTCCCAAACCAGACAGAGATCCAGCAAAAGAAGAAAACTACAGGCCAATATCCCTAATGAATATGGATGCAAAAATCCTCAACAAGATACTAGCAAGTCGAATTCAACAGTATATAAAAAGAATTATTCACCATAATCAAGTGGTACTCATTCCTGGGTTGCAGGGCGGGTTCAATATTCGCAAATCAATCAATGTGATGCATCACATTAACAACAACAACAAAAAAGATAAGAACCATATGATTCTGTCAATAGATGCAGAAAAAGCATTTGACAAAATACAGCATCCTTCTTAATAAAAACCCTCGAGAAAGTCAGCATAGAAGCCATTTGTGAGAAGCCCTCAGCTAACAGCATCCTCAATGGGGAAAAACTGAGAGCTTTCCTCCTGAGATCAGGAACACGACAGGGATGTCCACTCTCACCAATGTTGTTTAACATAGTGCTGGAAGTCCTAGCATCAGAAATCATACAACAAAAGGAAATAAAAGGCATCAGAATTGGCAAAGAAGAAATCAAACGTTCACTTTTTGCAGACAACATGATACTCCACATGGAAAACCTGACAGACTCCACCAAAAGTCTGCTAGAACTGATCCATGAATTCAGCAAAGCTGCAGGGTACAAAATCAACGTACAGAAATTGGTTGTCTTTTTATACACCAATAACGAAGCAAAAGAAAGAGAAATCAAGAAACCGATCCCATTCACAATTGCACCCAAAACCA